CCACGTGGCACCTTGCCACGTCAGCACCTGAGAGGGGCAAATGTTTGGGTTAAAATTACCCCAGCCACGTGGCCCAATGGCTGAGCGACGCGTGGCACCTTGCCATTGGTCAGCAGGGCTCCAATGCCCTGCTGACACGTGTCCTAGGAACCCTAAATGGGGAACCAATGCTCCCCACTATAAATGGTGGGAGAATCCTTATTAATGGGGCATGGAATACAATCATAAATACACTTACACCCAAACCGAGCAATCTTAATTGCGGAATTCTCCCATTACGCGAGAAGTAATTTTACGCTTTACGCACTTTCTTCCTCCCGTACATCACTGACTTGATCGTCGGAGGCGGAGCTCCACCCAACCGGAGTCTTCGTGGTTTTGCAGGTACAGGCGGTTGAAGGGCATTCTTGGAATTGTAACTCTCCCGCAGGACACTCCAGAAAACCCCGAAACAGTTATGTTCTTATCTTTTCCATCGCTTCACAGCCGCCTTTCTCACCGCTTCCCTTGCTCGCCGGCGACCGGCGTTTTCTCCTCTGCTGTTGCCGACGAGTCCTCTTCTCTATAGTTTCTTTAGTTTTCTGCGTTTCCTTTTGTTTTTTTTTTCACAATAAAGAAGACTAGAAAGATTGAAGTACTGATTTTCCGTTAATACCATCGGAGGTTGGTTAAGGTGTTGGTGAGGTTCTGATTTTCCAATGAAACAAGAAGCCAAGGCTATTCTTAACGCCATCGTCGAAAGGAAATTCGCTAGTAATCGCGTTCTCGGCGGTAAAGGTGAAGTTAAGGCTATAGTTTTCTACCTTAATCCAAGGCTGGGTTTCGGTGAGGGGTCTTCTTGCGTTGGTCTTTGAAGGTTGTTGTTTGGGTTAAGTTTTGATTCTGATGGTAAGGTAGTTCTTTATGGTACTCTTCTTCTAGTGAGTCTCAATTTCTCTTTGTTAGAGTTTGTCGTTTAGTTGTAGTTCTTGATTTGGTTTGGTAGTTATGTTTACACTAGTAGAAAAACACAAATTAGCATCGACAATATAGCACCGGTTCTTGTAAACCGGTGGGCAAAAATATAATGGCACCGGTTAACCAGTGCGTTTTGTTTTAGAAAATGAAAACAAAAAAAAGGAATTGACCGGTGCCCCTAATCTTATAAACCCTTATATAATAGCCCCCCTCTCTCTGAAATGCATGCTCTCCTTCTCTCTCTCCTTATCTCTCATCTCTGTTCTTCTCTCTCATCTCTGTTCTTCTTCTTTGTCGTTCTTCTCTTTCATCTCTCTCAACTCTTCTCTGATTCTCGTTCTTCTCTTCTCTGATTCTCGTTCTTCTTCTTTGATCTCTCTCATCTCTGTTCTTCTCTCTCATCTCTCCCATCTTTCGTTCATCTCTGATCTCTCTGTGCTTCTCTGATCTCTCGTTCTTTTTCCTCTGCTCAACAACAACCAAGCACAACAACCAAGCCGCCGCCGTCAACCACAACAAACATTGCCGCCGCCGTCAACCACGAAAAACATCGCCGCCGCCTAAAATCAGAAATTTGAGGTTAGGGTTTCTCGGTTCTTTAGCTTTGCGTTTCGATTTCTGGGTTCCGGGTATTTTCTAGGTTTTCGGGTTTCTGGGTTCTGGGTTTTTCACGGGTTTTGCTGGGTTTTTCTGGGTTCTTTGGGTTTTTGGGTTTTTTTGTTTTTTTCTGGGTTTCTAGGTTTTGGGTTTTGTGGGTTTTTTTTTTTTCCGGTTTTTTTTATGGGTTTTTCTAGGTTTCTTGGATTTTTAGGGTTTTTCTGGGTTTTTTTTTTGGTTTTTTTTCTGGGTTGAGAGCCGTCACAGCCCAGGCACACGACGAAGGAAGACAAAATTGGAATTCTAATTAGTCATTTTTGATGTTTGTGTTTTTTCGGAGTTTTTTTTTTTTGTGATGTCTCGTTCTTCTTTCTCATCTCTTCTCTGGTTTTTGGTTTTATTAATTTTGGTGTTTTATGATGCAGGTAGTATTACTTTTAAAAAAAATTTACAAGGATTCCACATAGAAGAAGCTAAGGATTCAAGATTCGGATTAACATATTTTGTTGTTCATTGTTGCTTTTTTTTTTAATAAATTGTAAAATAACAATTTATTCGATGAATATATATATATATATATATATATATGTGTGTGTGTGTGTGTATATATATATATATGTATATATATATATGATTAATGTATATTACGATTTGGTGTTTTTTTTTTTGAGGGATTTTGGTTGTTTTGTTTCATTGTCTGTTGATTTGTTTTATTGAGGGCAAAAATCGCAATTTTTATTTTATTTTTTGAAGGTATAATAGGCACCGGTTAACCGGTGCCAATTGTAGCAAAAACCAAAAAATAAAAATCGCAGGACTCACTTTTAGCACCGGTTAACCGGTGCGAATTCTTAGTTTTTCCATCGATTTTGTACCGGTGCTAATTTTTTTATTTTTAGCATCCCTCAAATCTGGACCGGTGCGAAAGGGGAGGTTTGAACCGGTGCTTATTTGCCTTTTTTTGCCTAGTGTTAGCTTATGTAGTTTGCTCTTTTTAGTGTTTAGTTTTACGTTTTTAAATATAGTTGTTTTTTTCGGATTTTTCATGAAATACCACTGAGTTTTTCGAAAATTCACCGTATACCACACAAAATTTTTTAATACACCAAATACCACTGAGTTTTTTGGTAAATGTCATAACATACATTAATGACTAACGGACGTTAACACCGTTAGTCATTAAGGCTAATAATGCCACGTGGCAACTTGTGATTGGTTCCCTTCTAAATTATTTAATTTTAGAATAATTATTTAATTAATTATCAAATAAAAAAATAAAAACCAAAAAATAAAAAAAAATAATAAAAAGTAACAAAAATTATTATAAAAAAAAAAAAAAAAACAAAACCTGCTGCCAGCTTGCCACCAGCCCACCACCACCACCAGCCAGCCCATTCCGGCCACCTCACCGCCAAACCCCTTACCGCCGAGGCCAGAAACGACAGGCGCGCCGGAGGCCGGCAGCCTTCCACCCCTTCCCCCCCTTTTCGATTCTGATCACCCCACCCAAAACCCCCTTCCCCATCCCTTTCGAATTTCGGCCACCCCACCCAAAACCCCCTTCCCCTCCCCTTTTCGATTCCGGGCACCCACCCAAAACCCCCTTCCCCTACCCTTTTCGATTCCGGCCACCTACCCAATACCCCCTTCCCCTCCCTTTTTCGATTCCGGCCACCCACCCAAAACCCCCTTGCCCTCCCCTTTTCGATTCCTGCCACTTCACCCAGAACCCCCTTCCCCATCCCTTTTCGACTATTTTCGGCCAACCCACCATCCCATGAAACCCTTCCCCTTCCTATTTTCGGCTGCCGAAACCCCTAAAATCCTCTCTAAAGTGTACAGGTGGTTTCGGGGGTGGAGGGAGGCGAGGGGGACGATTTCGGTATATGGTTTCGGTGGTGGAGGGAGGCGAGGGAGGTTAGTGTTACAGGTGGTTTCGAGGGTGGAGAGAGCCGGTTTTGTGGAGGTGGAGCGGTTTTAGGGGAGGTTTCGGAAGCTGGGGTTAGGGAGGGGGTGGTTCAAAGAGGGCCAGGGAGGGGAGTGCCACCACCAGTGGTTGTGGGCTGGTGTTGGCCTGGTTTTTTTCCCCCCCTTTTTTTCTATTAATTTTACTTTAATTTTTTTTAAAGTTAGTTAATTAAATAAATAACATTAATAATCACCATTTACAAGCTGCCACGTGGCATAATTAACGTTAATGACTAACACCGTTAACGGAAATGGTATGTTGTGACATTTACCAAAAACTCAGTGGTATTTGGTGTATTAAAAAATTTTGTGTGGTATATGGTGAATTTTCGAAAAACTCAGTAGTATTTCATGAAAAATCCGTTGTTTTTTTAAATCTGGTTGTTTGTCTTGGAGTGGGGTTCCTTAAGGTTTTTCTAATTAAAGGAATTTTGTCTTTGGGGTCACACTGGGCAATTTTGCTTTTGGATTTAGAGGTTACAAGGTTAGGTAAACCTTGCTTGTTGATTTGTTTGTTCTGTTCGTTGCCTTTTCGGGGTGTTACTTTGTTTATATGGGAATTATAGGAATTTGGGTTTGTTATATCTTCCAGGAGGTGGTTTCGTTTGTGCAGGAGGAACAAGGTTTACCCTGCAATTGGAGTATGCAGGAGGAAGGTGTTGGTGTTGGTGTTGGTGTTGTTGAGGGAAAAGGTGGGTTCGCTTATCCTGTTGTGTCTTGGTTGTGGGATGATAAGAGTATTCTTCTGGTTGCTATCATCCCTTTGTTAGTGTTTGTGATGACAAAGCCAGTCATCGCCATTAATCCACATCTTGAAGGAGGCTCCCCAACTTTAATGTTTGGGGTAAGCAAAGTCCTCCATTTTCTTGCACTCTCTGTTAGTAGAGTTGCAGGAAGGGAACCTGCATTTTCATGCAAGGTTTCCCATGATAGAGTCATTAAAAAATATGACTCTTTTGGTTGTCTTCCCAAAAGGAAGTAGTTATTCTTTGCGTTCCCTGGGAGTGAAGTGGTGTCAAGGGTTCTTGTTTCTTTAACAGGGGGTATTCATCTTTCGGTTGGTTCTACTCTCAGCAGCTTCTACTTCAAATTTGCTTTTGTGTTTTGGCAAGTTTCAGTGCTCTTCACTACGTTCAAGCTACAATTTCTATACATCTCGAGTTATTTGGTTAGTTTGGCAATGCTCAGTCCACATTACAGATCCAGTAGATTTTTGTTGGTTTTCTCGGCTCTGAAATTAATGTTGTTTTATAAATGGCGGTCATCACAGGTGGTTATGCTATGGTAGTCATTTGGTGTTATGCTATGGTTCTTAAGGATTCCCATTCTTGTTTGCGTGTTTGGTTTGATATGTTGTGTTGTAATTTTCTTAGTTTTTTTTACTCTTCTGAGGTTGTGTAATATGTAATTTTTTTTGTTAATAGAATCTTTTGTCCAAAAAAAAAAAAAAAAAAAAAAAACCCCTATAAAACGACGACGTTTAACCATCCTTGAACAAAATTCCCTCAATTTTGATTTCTCTTTCTTCTTCAGTCTTCACTGCCGCCTCTCTTTCTCAGGTCCATCAATGTCGGAAAGAGAGGTTGAAGAAGACTCACAAATGGCAGCAGAGAAATCAAGGGCTGTCTTTGTTGATACCAATCTTAATACTCATCTCATCGTCCCCATTTATTCACATTCTTCAGTCACCTCTCTCAAACGTAAACTTCTCACCTCCTTTTTTAAAATTATTCGAGTTTCTGCGTTTTATTATTGTCTTTGATCATCGATTAATTTTGATGCTAACATTGCAATTTTTACGCTTTCTATGAACTAGGTTTTTATTATATTTGTATGATATTACAATTCCGGCAAATTCTGCGTTTTGGGGTTTTATCTGGGTTTATCGAACATTTGTCTGAGTCGATAAGTAATAGGTAAGTATACGACGGGTGTATTATTATACGAGTAGTACAATAAACTTAACCATGCTATCATATAATTATGAACTTTGAATGCAACGGGTGTATTGTATACAACGTGTTTAGTCATACCAAATAATACGGTGTGGTGTTGTAACAAATAGAAGAATTTTAATCCATATTTTAGGAAAATGAGAGGAGGGAGTATAGAACAACTTGTGTTACTATTGCTAATACTTGTATGTATATGCATACTACTAGAAAGTTTGCATTTGCTTTTGTCAAAACAGTGGGCTAATTTTGCTTACCGCTCTCTCTGATTCTTCTATTTGTTTGCAGGGCAACTTCGTCGTGAACATTTCGAGTGCTTTCCGCTGTTAGGGAGGATTGAAGTCAATGCTCTTTCGGTATATTTTCGCTATTTTTTACCTGTCTTTTCATGTTATGTGCTGACCCTCGAATGTGGGTTATGAAGCTTCAACACCTAAATTATCCCATAATCATCCAAACTGTCTATTATAATCAAGTGAATGGAGGGGATGGAGTTGTGTGTGTGTGTGCGCGTAGTTACACATATAGTATCACATATGCATATCTTGTACGAGTATATATATTTTATCAGTCATTGTATTATAATTTGGCTGTATGGCTTGGTGTTTGATTGCCTGTTGTAGGTGAAATTGAACGATAGCCACTACCATCTTCCAGACTATATGCTTCTCAAAACTGTTTTTCATGGGGTAGCAGATGCATGGTTTGTATTTGCTGATGTTTGGACACTGGGTAGCTGTTTAGAACCCCAGAAGGATATTGAATGCAAGCCCTTAGAAGCACGTCTGTGGCATCGAAATGAATTACAACTTGCGAACTCATCTCCTCAGCCTCATGTGACTCTAGACATGAGTAGTAGTAAGAAAAAGAAGAAGAAAAAGAAAAGGAATGACGTGGAAGGGATTGTGGAGAATAATAATGGTGGTGTGAAAGAGCAATTGAAGGAAAAAGCAAGAGGCTCGTGTCAATTGGATGTCCCAAAAGCTGTGAGTAAAAATCATTTACCAAAATATATAAGTGTATGCCATGTATCTATGCTGTGCTCATATTTTTTTTATTCCTTTCTTTCCATTTTTCCGTTTTGACAGGACAAAGTTAGTGCCACTAAGCAGCTATATAAACCGAGTGAAAGTCTTCACTATACTTCTGTCGTACACCCATCTTTAATGCATTTGAAAGATGGTGGTGACAACACTGTCAATTATTTGCAAAAGGGTACTGGGATGGTGCATCAATTGGAAGGTGAATTCTGTACCCTCTGAAACATTCTGCCATTTTAAAAACCCTGTCATCCAGCTAATTTATTGTGTTGCTCAATGCTTGCTCATGTCCATTCTTTGCCAAGTCCCAAGTGTATATGAGCTGGTTGAAAATCTTCTTCTATAGTTCCATGTAAGATGTTTAAAATATTAAATATATATATAAGACAGGAATTTTTTCACTTCCATACTGTATGGTTGCTTGTGTACTTCTTGCGTCCTCCTTAAAGGAAGGGGGAGATACATATGAATATATGATTTAAGTTGGAACTGACTTCTGAAAGGAGAATGTTTACCCGATTGAGAGGAAAATGAACAAAAAAAGGTCATTACTTAGATTTTGTTATCGTACAGTAAATCTGGAAGAAAAAAAGGTTTTCTGTCAAACGGAAATGAGCCTTACAGGAAATTCTTATGCAGGTACTAGCACAAATTTAGCTGAAGTTCTCAACAAAGAAAGTGGAATTGACACCTCATTGCCTAAACCCCGATTTAAGAGAACCAAGAAAACAAAGAAGTATAACATTGATGTCAATAATAGCCCTGCTGCAACTTCTAACCAAGAGCCTGATATTCTAGAAAGGGCTGATGCACCTTCTGGCAATAAGCATACCATCTACAAAGAAGGTATTAATATTGCTGAAGAGGTACCACCGTCACAGCTGAATAATGTTTCAGAGCTGTTGTTTCAACATGATCCATTGAAAATAGACAAGGAAACTGTAGAAGATGTTGCTCCTTTGAAGTCAGACAATGCTGCTAAGAAAAGGAAAAGAGACAGAAGCGGACAAGAAAGAACTGCTGAAAAGGTAACACCATTGCATCTAAACAATGTTCCAGGGCTGTTGCTACCTCAAAAGGAGTCGATGAATTTAGTTGATAGAGAAAAGGAAATTGAGGAAGATATTGCTCCTGTGAAATCAGAGAATCCTGCGAAGAGAAGAAAAAGAAATAAATCCAAGAACTCTGGTACAGAAAATCAGGAACTGTTAAGCAAAAGGCAAATTGCTGATAAAAAAGAACATGACATGAGGACTTATTTACCAGATGACGCTAGCAGACCTGAAAGGTGTGTGGAAACTATAAGTGAAACTCCGAAGAAGAGGTCTCGAAACGAGGAAGCTGTTCCTGGAAAGGACCCTCAAGAGGAAATTCAGAAATTAGAAGCCCCTGTGACTGTTATTCAAAGTGACAAACCCAAGAAGCAGAGACAAAAAAAGCAACCTGCTCCTGCATTGGATCCTTCCGTGGATCACCATTTAGATGAAATAACAATGGAAATGGAGGCACCAAAAAAAGTAAGTGAAATCTAGTTGCCAAGAAGTTTATTTCCTCTAAATAGATTAATATTGTCAAGCAGCTAGAAGTCACTGAATCTCTCTCTTTTTTTTTTTTTTTTTTTTTTTTTTGGGTGTGTATTTTTGGATGTGAAACAGGCTGATGCTATATTGACAACATGCAATGCTATTATGAATGATGATCTGTTGAAGTCAGACAACACTGCTAAGAAAAGTAAAACAAATGAAAGTGAACAAGAACACAGAACTGCTGCAAAGGTATCACAGTCGCATCTAAATATTGCTCCAGACTTTTCTCAAAATGAGTCAGTCAACTTTGCTGAAAGAGAAAAGGAAATCGAGGAAGTTGTATCTCCGTCAAAGTCAGAGCACTCTAGGAAAAAAAAGAAAGAAAGGAGAGATTCCCAACTGAAAAGGAAAGAAATTAGTGTGTTGACAGAATCTAGCAAAATGCAGAATGATATTGACAAACCCGAAGAGAGTGTAGAAACTGTGAGTAAATCATTGAAGAAGAGGTCTTTGAATGAGGAAGCTATATCTAGCATGGTTCCTCCAGGTTCTTTATTGAAAGAGCAACCAGATGCAGAAACTAGGGAAAGGGCTGTCCCCAAAACTGTGATTGAAAGTGACAAACCCCTTACGAGAAGCCATAGGAAAAAGCTCTCTGTTTCCGGGAAGGACCTTTCCAGCTTAGCTGGGAAGCAGCAGTCAGCTGAAAAAAAGATGGAAATGGATGCACCAAAAAGTGTAAGTGAAATTGAGTTACAAAGAAGCTACTGCCCTTAATAGATTTATAATGTCAAGCAGCTAAAAGCCATTGCATGGTGACTAAATTATTTCAACTTCTTTTTATTGACAGGTGGAAGAGGCTGATGATGCAAAAAACCAGAAGAAAGTGATACAGGGTGAAGTGCATCATGATGATTCGAGGGAGGTTCCTTCCCTAACAGTTTCCCCTGTATTATCAGAATCCAAGCATTTGGAAAAGTCACAGACAAGTAAACAGAAGGCAAAAAAAACATGATCAACCTTCAGCTGTAGATAGTTCATTTAATGGTCAAAACTTAGCTGAATCGAAGAAGAATCAAGTACATGCAAAAATTTCTGGGATTCAGAAATTAAGCACTGTGCAAGGCCAAGACAAACCTATACCTCCGCTGACAGACGTTCCAGTTGCTGCTCCTATCAAAATTGACAAAAAAGGTGATGTTTCCCTTGCAAGTGTGGATGATGGAAGCAGAATCTCTGGCAAAATAAGAATGAGAGAAACAGATGCCCCTAGAAGAGTAAGTCATGTCAAGTTACCAAAATGCAATTTCTCAAATTAATTCATTGGGCGAAGCAGCTGTAAGTGATTCTATGAAGGCTGACTTTTTTGTTTTGTTTTGTTTGGGAGGGGGGTTTAGGTCGATCGGGCTGATGATCTATTTACAGATGCTGAGAGTAATGGTGCTCAAGAGCACAAAGAAGTGATACAAGATGATGTACATGGTGAATTCAGTCAGGCTCCTCCCCTAGAAGTTTCCACTCTCTTGGCAGAAGCAACGCAGCTTGAAAAGCCACAGGCTAGTAAGCAGAAGGTCAAGAAACTTGATCAACCATCTTCTATTGATACTTCATCTAATGGACGTGACTTGCTTGGCTTAAAAAAGAATAAGGGAAGTTCAAACACTTCTGAGCTTCAGAAGCCCATCACTCATAAAAAACATGACAAATTCGGTCTCAATGTCAAAAATTCAGAAATTTTGAAAGAAGTAATTTCAACTGTAGCTGATCCTACCAGCATCTCAAGGAATACTGGTGTTTCTCGTGCAAGTGTAGATGATGGAAGCAAGGCTTCTGAAGTATTAAACATGAGCTTTGGAAATACAGTAAAGAAGGTTCGTGAGGGAGGACGGGCTAAGGAGCCACCAAAAAAGCTGGAAGAGAATTCTGTTGGCATTAGAAAATCTTCCCTTTTGATCACAAAACAAAGAAAGAAAGGGTTAGCTTCTTCAAGAGCAATATTTGATGATGGTACTAGTTCATCTTCTGATGATGAAGATAGAACTAGTTCTAGCGCCGCACTTCCACCAGACAATTTATCTTCATCTGATTATTCGGAAGGGGAAAGCGAAGGAGTGGTGATATTGCAACCCGGTAATGTGTTAAATCTTGCTGTCAATAACTTTTTGTGCATTGTTCTGTCATTGATTGCCAATGCAATGGAGAACTTGATTTAATTTGTTGTCTCCTTAATGCTCTTACATCTTAGTGATTTACTGAGTCTGCACTTATATTGTGAGGGTGCGGTTCACAATTTTTCAAATGTGCTGCTTTTGGTCTCAAGTTAATTTTCTTGTTGTTCAACCTCTACAATTTAGTGCACTATTTTTATTGTACAATTTTTCAATTTGATTTTGTCGTGAACTTTTTATGTGATGCTACTTGCGTCTTGTTTTCTAACGTTTTTTGTTTTCATCTTTTGCCAGATTCTTCCAATGGTAATGACAGAAGCAAGGCAAAGTAAGTGTAACAATTTCAGCTCTTTTTAATATTTTTCTTTTAATCATTTTCATTCATCGATTCATATCACTCTGATTGCGGTTGCACAATTAAGTACGATGTTGCAGATGTATCCAGGCACATTTTCTAGTAATAGTTCACATTATGGAAACTCAAGATGACTTCAGGAGTATCTAATTGTTCTCTGTTATTTATCTTGTGTAGCTCATCTGGCTCGAAGCTGGAATCAATCCTACGAAGCTCAAGCAGATACAAGAAGGCCAAGTTGGTGGCTTCCCAGTCACAAAACGATAGTGAGCTTCCTGAGTTTGTTCCAGATAGTCTTGCAGACGTGTAAGTCTCACATTATTTTTGGCCTAGTGAGTTGTTTTGGTCCGGTTTTTTTTTATAAAATCGTATCTGAAGGGAAGTGTTATGTTCCTCTTCCAATTTTGTCACAAATTATCTGTGTACTCATGTGTTGGCTTTTGCTCAAATGTACGATATCGCTCCAAGAAAAGGAAGAAAAACATGGTGGGTTTTTTTTAATGTATTTTTGGACAGCCACATACCCAATGACGTTGGCTCACACAAACTAATGACATTTTCACAAGTAGATGGAAAGGGGCAGGTTTTTCAACCCAATTTATCAAAATTATACAACATGAGCAACCTTCAAGGACAATATAGGGGGAAATGGAAATCAAACTGATTGCCTTAAGACCCACATAATACCAAATTACTTTTGATTAAAACATGACGAATCAACTACAATCAGCATTAAGATGACAGGAAAGATCTCGGCAAAGCTACGCGCAAACTGAAGAAGATATGTTAATCTTTGATGATCACAGTGTTCCATTATGTTCCGAATCTGAACTGCTTGAATGCTGCCTGCACCACCATGATTTCTGGCAAGTTGCCGTACATTACACCCAAACCCACCATACCGCCCGCTACTTTACTGGTTTTGGAAGACAACAGGAAAACATGTGGCCATTTTTGAGACGTTTGAGGTTTAATGGTTTATACTTAAGCAAGTCTTTGGAGTGCTATTTAAACGCTTAAACCTTGAACTACCAATTTAAATTTTGAAAGGAATGAATACAAAGTTGTGTCGATTGAATAAATGGATCGAGAGAGCTGATTCTTCAGCTTCAGCCTTAGAGCTTCTCGTCATTAATGATTCTTAGAACAACTCTAATTATTGGCTAATTCATCTTCTAGCTTGTAAATATTAAAAATCTTAAGCTAATAGCTATACCATTGTTGTACACCTTGTTAATTAGCTTTGGCAAACAAACTGGTTAAGTAGCTAGAATTGTTATAACTTGAGAAAATGATATGACATGACAAGCTATTAAATGAATTATCCAACGATTCCAACCATTGGAGTTCATATCGCGGAACCTTAAGATGACTTCTGGAGACTAATTGTTCTCTGTTTGTGTAGCTCATCTGGCTCAAAGCTAGCATCCATCCTACGGAGCCCAAGCAAATGCAGGATAGTCTTGCAGCAGACGTGTAAGTCTCGCATTGGCTTGTTCTTTTTTAGGCCTAGTGAGCTGTTTTGGTCCCGGATTCTTTTGACCATATCTGAAGGGCAGCGTTTTGTTCATCTTCCAATTTTTGTCACAAATTACCTGTACTCATCTGTTGCCTTTTGCTCTAATGTACGATATGCATTTCGCTACAAGTAGATGGACAGGGACAAGTCGTTCGACCCAGTTATACATGAACAACATAACTTGAAGAACAATATAGGGAGAAAAATGAATTATCATGATCATACTAGTTGCCAAACACTCGCACATTATACCGAATTGCCGATACATAGTAATTCTCGTGAACAATCTCGTTCTGTTATGACAAGAGCGTAACCAATCTACTACAATCAGCATTAAGACTACGGAAAAGACGACCTTCTTCGCCAAGGTACATGTAAATGATGCGTGCTATTCGAAGAGAATGTCTTTAGCTTCGATGATCACAATTTTCGAATGTACTCCAAATATATAGCTCCCAAACCTACCATACCGCCACCAAATTAACACTACTTGATACTTCATATATATTTAGCTTTAGAGACCTTGAAGTTCCAATTAAGAAAGACATCATTTCTATCTACTCATCACTTACCCATCCATAATTTGCATTTTTTTGCACATTTATAATTCTTCAAAATAAACTAAAAAATATGTCTTAAACCTCTGTTTTTAGGTACATCGTACACATAGGTGTATAATGAAGAAAAACTCGACCTTTTGGTCATTTCTTGATCCGCCTAGCCTAGGTAGTTCCAATAGGCCACATTATGTTCGAAAGTTGTACCACTAAAATGTCGTGGAAAAAAAAATGTTCATCTCTTAATTGTTTTTTTTTTTTGGTGTTCTACCCGGTTCATCCTTTGGGCTAATTCGGATTTGGGGATCAGTTCTGGGTGGTTAGGTTTCAATCCCCTCCCAATTGTTGTTACAGGGGATCAAACACGCAATCCTCCCTACTAAATGCAGTTTCGATCACCACTACACCATTAGTCAATTGGTTCATCTCCTAAATTGTTGATAGCTTGAAAAAGTTAAAGATCAGAGAGGTATCATGCCCACAATTATAGCAAACAGTTCTTGAACTTAGTAATAAACAATGTTAGTCAGAAGTTTTTAATTGCGAAATTAACGGATCACTTTCCAACAATTTGCAACAGGAAAGCATTTATGGCCATGTTACGCAAATATATTTATAAATAAATGCGGAATGCGGAGTAGTATACTAGTATATGGCTGGATATAATACTAATACTCCCTCAGTCATTTTATAATTTATACTTCGTATCTTTCTACTATTTTTCTTTATAGAAAAATTTCAAATACGAAGATTAAAAATAACGAAGGAAGTATCTAATACAAGTAGATAGATAACTGTTTCCAAACATAAAATGCTTGAACCTTTATTTTGACACTAAAGGAACATAAGAGCTAAGATTAGATAATGTGAGTTAAAGGCTAAAAAAAAAAAAAAACACACACACTGACACACTCATAAAATGATATTATTTACCTCAAATATTAAATATATGGAAGTTCTTTAATTACATGGTAAATTTTTAGCTCCTTCGTACCCTCTATCTATTCTTCCATATCAAAATTAAACATGTCTAATTTATTCATACAAAACATATTGGTCATAACATAGTAAAAGAACATACATTTCAATTATAACAAGAATACAATTCATTTTTTTTTTTTTTACAACAAGAAAAGAGGGATTTCATTAATAAAATATAGCCAAACGACACTTACATATAATTCCTAATAAAAACAAGAATTTAAATACAAGTACATAATATCTTAAAACTAAAAACATCGCAGATTTGATCAATAATCGCCTTAATAAAAAACTCCAACTTATGCAATACAATCTGTGAGTTAGCACTAATTCATTTTAATCATATTGAATTAAGTTCTTTACATAAGTAAAGGCCAGGAAAACAATGGGTTGTGTTGTTTTTCTATGAGGCGTGCCCATTTGTTTTAGAAGGTGTCTGTTTTAACTTGTTGTACCATTTAAATTACACATTACTGTTACTATTCCGTTATATATTAGTTGTAACTTTTACATATTATTTGTACGACATAAAAAAAAATTCAAATTCAAAGTTATAACTAATGTGTAACTACACTAATATTAATTTGTAATGTATGGAAGTCCATCCTGTGAGGGTCATATTTAACAATACATGCGGTGAAAGTATAGTCCAATGGAGGAGCTAGAGTCAGAATCTTTTAACCAAAAATAATAACGATTGGCCCTTGAAATAGCAAATTGTTGCTTTCTAGTTTCTACGGAGTAGTAATATTGGATGGAGTACACAGTACAAGTGCACATTTTTAGAGGAAACACTCGACAAAAATATGTACTCCCTAAGTATGTAAATTGACCAATTGTCGTGCAAAAGGGTAAAACGGCATGCAATTAACACTAATTGAATATAACCCTACCATAATCAATTATCATTTCTAATTCTCTTTTTTATCTATATGTCAAAGCTTCACACTTATCATTAATGAAGGAATAAAAGTATGATTAAAATATAGTTAGGTGATTAGAGTAATAAAAAAGCAACGAACATTATAATTTAACGGTTATCATTACCTTTGCCCATTTTTAATTATATTATGAATGTGCCACAGCTTTTAGCTAGCGTAAAAAACAAACAAATTTAAGTATTTGGAAAAGAATATAAAAAATAATAATTTAATACTCCATGAAAATTTCTCCTTTTGGAATTGGATTTCTCTCTTTACCCTAGTTTTAGCCAACCAACAAAGAAGAATAAACAAACCAAATCAAATGGCATAAATAGAAATAAATAATGTGGACGGAATTTAATCTCACATCCGTATTTTTACTGAATAATGACTTTTACCTTGTCATGGGCATCTCTTCATGCCAAAAAATAACTAAACGAGTAACGACATGGATCAGAAGTCTCTCCAGTAACTAACTAACCAAACGATCTAGGTTAAAAACTTGGCGTATCTCAATCAATCAATTTTTTTTTTTTCTGAAAATAACCTCGGTATCCAACCCGAACCCATCAACCTTTTTGACCCGAACCAAATCCGACCTTTTAAACAACTTCACCAAAGCATCCACCCCAAGCAAATCATTAGCCGAATACTTATCGGACCGCGTCGTAATCGCCACATGCAGAACACAAACCCCGGCAGGCTTCAACGTCCGCTCGATCTCCCGGACAAATTTCTCCGGGTAAAGCGCGTGATCAAACACATTCGAAAACTCGAAATCGAAAGTTTCATCCTCAAATGGTTGCTTATGAAAATCTCCGTGAATAACCAAAGGCGGACACGGCACAAGGTCAATACCAATCGAGTCCGATACTCCAACACGGCGCAAAGCCTCGACTTCTTGTCCAACTCGAGCGCCAATACAAAGGGCCTTGGATGAGTTTGATAGTAGTGACGAGTCCTTTAAATGAGAGAAGAAACTCGAGAAAACTCGGATCTTACGGTCCCAATCACGGGTGGTCCAAAGATGGCGGAGTTTCGGGTTAAGGGTTTTGTTGAGTTGTTTTTTTATGTAAGTGTCGTAGGTGGTGTATCCGGGTCGGATACGAATTCCTGGGTTTGCTGCGGTTGTAATTGTGGCGGTGTTGGTGGTTTTGAGAGAGAATAGGAGGAGAAGAGGGAGGGAAAGGAAGAGAGAGAAAGTAAAGAAACGGAGGAAAATTTGGGTTATTTGGTTGTATAGTTTCATACTTTTTGCATGGTGTTTTTGATTTTTCTTTTGTGTTTGTTGTGAATTTAGTTTCTTCTATTTTCTCTCCTCTCTCCTTTTTTTTTTTTTTTTCTTATTTGATTTTCTCTCTCATATTTTTATTTGCCCTCTCTTGGAGTGGTGGAGAATGGAGAGAAAGAAGGGTTGAGGATCGAAATTTAAAGTGGAGGAGAAAGGGAAGTCAACTAATGGGAGGGGATTTGGTTTTATAAGGGTTGCCACTTGTTTGCTTTCTTCATGCATTATTTCACATGGCGTGGTTATCAATTTTCCCTCTCTTTTTCGAAATCATATACGGATCGGACTAATTATTCGTAGGTGTTTTATACAATGGGTGTACCAAACCAATATATGTAATAATTTTAAGTATCATGTATCAATGTTCAAAAGTAGGAAGTATAGTACTTCGTATATATAATTGTCAAGCAAGTTGGCTTATGCTCTATGCCTTTATATAAATTACATTTACGGAATATGTTAATTTAAACGATTAAGCGAGTTCAATATATCTTATCTTATTAGCTCTAAATTTGCTATACTTATGCTACCTTAGTTATAGCTTATTAGCGTAGTTCACCTTATATCACCATTTATTATTTTAAATTTATCTTATTAGACTTTATTATAACTATTAACTCTATCTTGGTCATACTAATTTATCATTCATATCTTAACTGAAATATAAACTTATTAATCCTATCTTTATCATCGACGCTTATTTTAATTTATCAAAAATTCAGAACGTATAATTCTTATTTGGTATTATCTTACGTTCTTAATTGAACCTACAAGTATAAGTCTTGAAACAAGTTTAAAAATAAAAATAAAACAAAACAAAAAACTCAAAAGTACAAAGCTTTTTTTTTTTTTTTTTGAAACATCAAAAGTACAAAGCTTGTACACTTAAAAATCACAAGATAATGTAAACGCCAAATGTTCGATGCAATTATAAAGAATTAAACAAATAATTAACCTAATATTTTTCGGCATGCAAGAGGACTAAACTTAGTCAGGCAACTGTTGTGCCTTGTGGGAGTCGACCGTCGACCGCCGACAATCTCTATCAATTGACAATACAATATAATTGATTTATATATGAAAAATAAATTGATAATAGCCTAATACTCTCTCTAATTAATAGTTGGAGTTCAGCGAGTTTATAGGTAAAATAATATTAAAATAAAGTTTGCAAGTTCTAGCATTGATTACATGATTAGAATTTCATACCATAACCTTGTTTTGAAGTAAGTAATTTTATTATTATTATAAAAATTTGATTCTTAGATCTTTACAAATCTAAAACAAAGTTTTCAAACAAGATTTGAATGATACTCCCTTCGTTTCATTTTGTTAGTCTCATATACTCCTTACTATTTTGGGAGTTTCAAAATGATATACCCATATGGAATATATTCCATTTTTTATTATAATTTCATAATATGTGAATAATAAATCTAATTGGGTGTTTAAAGAGTCAAATAATTCTGATTGGTTAATATATGTATTGGTGGATTGCTGACATGGCAAATTCTTCCAAATCAAGATTTATTATAAGACTTGATTACAGCCAATTCCCATAAATAAAACAAAAAAGACAAAATATTAATTACAAAGTTGTAATCAAATTCCATATTATTAAGATTCCTCCTTTTCTTATTTTAAGTGTTTGATTTCAAAGGGAACAAACAAAGTGAAACTGAGGGAGTATTTATTAAATGCAAATAAAGTACAATGGTTGCTGAATAAGGGATTAATAGGTGAGGGATTGGACAATCGTACAAGCAAGTGTCTTATAAGTTATAATTATACTACTATTTTAAGATATGATGATCAATTTTGATTTTAGAATTTTTTTTATCGTAGTATAATCTCTAATTGATTGGGAACATGAATATATTTATACTCTCTAATTCATAGGGAAGATGAAAAATTATATTGAATTTTGATACTTGCATTGCTTGTACGATAATAGAAAACTTTGGTTACAATTCAATGGACTAGTTTAGCATTTTTTTTGTATCGCTGTATTAGTTTTTATTGTCATTGTCATTAATTACAATCTTCATACATAATAGCTCATTTTATATAACAATATAGTTGCTATGCAATGTTTGTTTTTTAAAGTAAGGCGCCGTTCATTTCACCTTATTTTTGCTGAACTGAAATTATTTTTACTGAACTGAAATTATTTTTGCTGAACTTAAATTATTTTTACTGAGCTGAAATTATTTTTGTTGAACTTAAATTATTTTTACTGAACTGAAATTATTTTTGCTGAAATTAAATTATTTTTACTGAGCTGAAATTATTTTTGTTGAACTTAAATTATTTTTACTGAACTGAAATTATTTTTGCTGAACTGAAATTATTTTTACTGATTTTCTATTATGTTTCTTCTTTAAATATACTAAATTTTACTGAACTGAACTTATTTTTACTGAACAAAAATTATTTTTGCTGAACTGAAATTATTTTTACTGAACTGAACTTATTTTACTGAACTGAAATTATTTTTACTGAACTGAAATTATTTTTTTAAGGTGAAGTGAACAAGGCCTAAAGAGAAGGACCATGACCATACCTCACCCTCACCTTTTTTTTTTTTGGTTTGGTATTTGCGAGTTAGACACTTTGAAAATGAAGGGAGGGAGGATAAAGGATTATTCCACCCTACCTCAAAGTGCCCCTAGTGGAAATTGAACCCCCAACTCTAAAAGTTGGAGGGTACAATATAAATTTCCCACTAGACTAAGGTCATGTTCTTGTAAACTTCTAGACAGAGTAGAGCAGATTTCAGCAGAGCAGAGCAGGTGTCAGAAGAGCGAGCAGATTGAGTCAGCAGAGCAGGGCTCAGTAGAGCAGCTTTAAAGAACAGAGCCTAGAAGTTAACTTGGTATATACTACATATATATATGCAAAAATGTATCAGATTCTAATATCATACTGTAGGGAATTTTTCCTCGCCCTATATGTGGGTCATGTTTTTAAGCATGACGACGCTCCAAAGAAAAGAAGCTAGAGAAAAAGAGTAGCCAACAAGTTTTAGGAACTTGTAAACTGTTCACGATTGTGAAGGTTACACCCCATTCACAATCACAGAGATTGCTAACTCCATAGTGGTCTGGAACCATGACTGGATATTTTGGGATGATGGTACGAATTTGACCTAAGAGAAGCCAAACCCGCCACTAATAGGCCTCTACTTGATTTTTATTGATATTCATACGCGCTTTTCGATCAACATACATACATCAAATTAATCCTAAGCCTGTTTAATCTACGTTGGTTGATTACTAATGCACAATCAAATCTATTATTGGTGATCACTTGAATTAAAATCACGATGAACCTAAATCCAATTATTAGTTATTTTATTAGGCCTGATTTCAAGTACAAATTTCCTTTAAACCTGCAAGAAAGGGGCGTGATCAAGCAATAAATCATTGCCACTCAAGCAACATATGATTAATATCACAATCATCATCAAAACATCGTTAGTAGTAATATCCTAGGCATGATATTAAACAGATTAATAACAAATCTTAGCATGTCATTAATAACAAAATCAAAGCGTTATCCTAAACAAGATACTTAAATTCAAAATAACATTCTAAACATGATACTAGAAATCAAAATAACATTCTAAACATGATACTAGAAATCAAAATAACATCCTAAACATGATTTCTATTCCAAATCAAAAGAATAATTAAGTAATTAAATTACTTACTATGATGCCACAACCTTCTTGCTATTAAAATAATACACACGTTAGTAAACTTCAAGAAAGTTAAATCAATAAAGTAAATAAATCAAATATGAATTGAAATATAGATTTGGGACCAAACCCTTCAGAACTATCAACCTTCACGTTGAGGTCAAAGGCAACATCGAGTATGGTTTGGAGTATTTGAATCACGCAAAGGAAGTATTGTGTATGATTTGGATAGATCAAGGATGTATTTATGATGTGTTTAGAACATGGGTGTTTAGGTTGATGATAGGTGATTGTTGATAATTGTGGCTAAGGATTCTTGATGGTCCTAGCTGATTTGAAAACGAAGAAAATGACCTCTATTTTTAAAGAAAAAAGAGAGTCTAAACGATCAGAATAGATCAACAGTTCTAAATAAAATAGAACTTCACTGTCATAGGACGACAGGATTGTCGTGGCACGTTGGCCTTTGTCGCGGCGCAACAAGGCTGACGTGGAGCAACAGTCCTGTCGTTATGCGACAGTTTCTGGAGACAACAAAGGTGTATGGAGTTTGATTTCTAATGGAATTATGTTTGTGAAAGATATCCGAACATCTTTGAATTTAAACGGGATAAGGATTATCATATGAGAAGTTTTATTCAATCTCGAACTTCTTTTATCTTTATCTTTTCGGAAAGGATAGATTATAACCTTCTAAAGGATTCTAGAAGTTGCTAATTAATTTAGAATTGCAAATATGATCATATAGGGCCTAAATAAAATATTTGGACTCTATATAATCATTGGGTGGTAGCTAAGGTGGACTTAGGCTCGGTTTGGGGTCGGTTTAGTATTTTGGCCATAACTTATTCGTTTTAAGTCGGATTTGAGCTTATAATATATCGTTGGAAAGCTCTTTTTAAGCCCCATCCAACTAAACAATAATTAGACGGGAAATATGGACCGAAATAATCCGATTGGACGTTTTTTATAAATTGGACACGAAATGGATGATTTAAAGGACACGAAATAGATGATTTTTGGTTAAAAGACACGAAATGAATGATTTTGGATTAAAACATTGTAGGTAAGGTTAGGAATATGGTCAAGACTTAAGGAAACTTTGCGAGACACTTCAACACTTTACTGAACTTGTCAATCAAAACGTGAAAGATACTCATCACTGGGTTTGGTTTTTGGGGAGACACAATTAAGTGTCTACACATACCAAGTACATACTTTATACTATACTTTTATAGATATATGAAAGAGTCATTTGGATTGAATCATGAGATTCATGACATTCAAACTTATTATAATCTATTGACAGCGGTTGATCGGTTCTAATTCAATTCAAATCAAAATCAAAATCAAAATATGATGATAATTGATGTTAATTAGAATAGTTACAAGTTTTATATTTTTTGAGTTTGCATTGAGTCGAATTTTTTTAATTTAGAGGTAAGTTTTTCAATTTTTTTTAAAAAAAATACTACATGCTTCTAGAGGTGTCCACCGTGCGAGTCGTGCGAGCTGGGTTAGGGTTAGGTGGGTCGCGGGTTGGGGTTTCATGACACACGGCACGACACACGTAGGGTAGGGTGGGCCGGGTCGTGGGTTGGGTCGGAGAAGTTGGACACACCAGGGTTAGGTTCGTGGGTTAGACGAGTCGTGGGTGG